GCGCAGCCAGTTCTACTTTGTCTTTTTTCAAGGCTTCAATTTGTTTCTCCATTTGAGCCATCCTGGTGGCTTGCGCTGTTTGAAATCCAAATGGTTGAGGATACAGTTAGGACAGCATAGATTAATGGGACAGATCTAGAAGATTACCTTTTGACGAACCACTCAGCTCGAAGTTTGAATCCTGGAGCTGAGCAATTCGCTCCCTTAATTCTTTTTCCGTCTTTTTGGCGAGCTCCTTGGCCTCGTGTAGCTGGTCCCTAACTGCTTCAAGAGTTCCCAAATGAGGAACCAGCTTCTCCAAAGTTGCGGTCTTGGCTTCATTACGAAGATGGATTCTCTACATGATGGTTCATGGTTTAGTTCTGCTAAAAAGAAAACAAAGTCATCAAAGGCAGTCGCCTGAAAGATTTACATTCACAATACGAGTGGCTTCCCCAAGCGCCTTCTTCAGCTGGCACACTTCCTCATCTTCTTTTTGACGGCTTATGACGATGCCGGCAACCTGTGAGATCTCGTCCCACCATTTGAGCAAGATAGGAGGACGAGAATCATCAGCCGCCTTTATGCGGAGAATTTCTTCTTCGCCATCGCCCGGTGGTCCTGATGTATTTCCAAGACATTAGGCAAATAAACTGGAGTTATTTAAATCGGTATCACTTGAGAAGATGAGTTACCTGAGGATGTTCCTAGCTGAGCGTGAGGTGACCCTTGTTCTTTATTTGGAGACCCAATCATTGAGTCTTTACTAGTCTCTGGTCCTTGGGAAGTTGTCGTCTGCGCTCCAACTTCAGGGATTTCTTGATCGGGACCTGCATCCGACTGGTTTCCAGTCGGGGGCTCTTGGGTTGTAGCAGTTTCAGCTGCTGTAGACTGGTTTCCAGTCGGCGGCTGGTCACTCGGATCGGCCTTATCACCCGAAGCATGGGCGCCAGTCGGCTGGCTTTCGGCAGTTGGCTCGGGATCCTTGGATAAATTTGGCTCTGTCACGGCTTGATCAGGATCTTTTCCAGTTGGATCTATGTCGGATGGTTTCCTGCAAAGTGTTCTTTCAATATTTAGTATAATTTCTATGAGAGAAGCATGTCAAAGGGAAATGGTACCGAGAGGTTTATACTTGGAAGATGTTCTAATCTTTGGCATTTGACGGCCAGCCAGTTTTTTCCTGGGCATGGTACGCTTCGGGAGTTTATTAGGCGAGCCCTTGTCCTCAGATTTGTTGTCGTCGTCGCCTTCATCGTTGTCAAGCACCAGTTTTCTCTTGCGAGAACCTGTCTGTCCAGTTGGATTGGAGGTTTGAGGTTGCGAATCTGATCTGATTGTTGGCCCTCCACCTCCCTGAACGGTGTGCTGGCGAGGAGACCGGCGCTGAGTGATTGGGGGATCAGATTTTATCAATACATATTCCTGAATAAGATGCCTCCATGGTTAGTTAACTCAACATGAAGACAAGATACTATTTTGGTCATAGGTTGAAGATTTCAGATACATACCTGCGGAGGCGGATTGAATGCATTATATGGCACAACTGGCAGCTGATGTGAGTAGCTGACGACAATAGCATTTGAGAAGATTTTATACATTCTCTCCTTCATGATTTTAAAATCCAGAGAGTCTGGTTCTTCGCGATTAGGATCATGCTTGCCGTCAAACTCAAAAGCTGTACGGGATCTTTCTTTAACTGGCGCCAGTCGGCATTTGATGAAGTGCCGAGTGATCTGCTCTCCTTGTAAGCCTTGTTCTTTGAGTTTTAGCATGCGGTCCATCAACTCTAAGGCTTGGGCTGCTTCGTCCCCAATCGGAAGAGAGTTCCAAGTATCTTGGTACACTGGAGGAAGACAAGAGTACTCGGGAAGAGCAGGCTCAGGATTCTGAACATAAAACCAGTTCGCATGCCACCCTTTGTTTGAAGTCTTGAAGGGCATTGAGAAGTACTTCTGGCTCAGAGTTCCCCTCAGCTGAAATCCGGCCCCTCCGACTACACATGGCTTGCTCTTGTTTGGTTGGGGTTTGAGAAAGAAGATTCGGCGAAACAGAGCGAAGTGGGGTTTAATTCCCAAGAAGGCTTCACAAACATGGATGAAATTGGCGATGTGGACTATGGAATTTGGGTTTAGGTGATGCAAGCTGATTCCATAGAAGTTTAATATCCCGCGGAAAAATTTCGAGGTCGGAAGAGCAAAGCCGCCATAAAAGAAATGAGAGAAGACCACAACCTCGTGTGTATCGGGGGACGGAAAAGCCTCACCGCACGCTGGCCGCCACCCGATGATCTCCTTGGCAGGGAGAACGCCGTGCGCCACCATCTCCTTCAGGTTCTCCTCCGTCACGTCGGATGGCGCCCATTGGCCTTCAAAGCTTTCTTTCTCTTCCGCCATTGATTTTACCCGAATGCGCTGATTTGATTCGGGGGATGGCTAGGGAGAGGTGAGGGATTGAGGCGGTGAATTACGGGAAGGATTTTGATGAACTTTTCGAAGGTGGATTTGAGTGGATTGGTGAACCCTAGTTTGCCGGCGCAGCTCCGTACTGTAGCAGGGAGTGGGGAAAATGGCGAGAGTTCCGGCGGGGAAGACGAAGTGGCGCTTGGATCACGGGATTTTTTGTTAAGGGTATCGGAGGTGCGAATGGGCTTAGGCCTGAACGGTACCTCAGCCCAATACTTTTAACAGCGTGGCCCATTGTGCTCCTTAGGGACTTAGGCATTTTTTGCTTTGGCAACTTATGCGCACAATAGTGTTGCCCAATGCTGATAAAATCTTTTTTTACGCGGTCATATAATTCTTCGGAATTATTGCAATGCGAATTTTCAGGTGTGGCCTGTCACGTTCTTTTAGGGACTCAGGCACTTTTCGCTTAGGCCAAAGTGCGCGTGATCAAGTGCCCAATACCTTAAAATCCTTTTATACCGCAGTTACTCAACTTTTTAGGAGTTGGTACAATGCATCTTAAAAGGTGTCAAACAGTAAAGCTTTATATAGCTGCCCCGCTGACTTTTTAATATAGTCATGGTGCTGTTTGGGTTTTTAAGCAATTGATTGGATACAATATCGTTGCTCTTTGCCACGTAAGTGTGTATTTTTATTGACCAATATTATGGCTTAGGCTGATTATATATTGTAGTCATTTTTTTAGGCGGTTGGTAAATCCTTTATGAGTTTATTTACTCGGATTTTACACCACACATGCCTGTTTTCATTATGGTGGATAGTCATAGCTTAGGCTATTAGACTTATTCATTACCATAATTTTTATAATATTTGGTGGGTAATCTTTAGAGTTTTTTATTCGGATGCCTGTCAAGTGTGTTCATTCGTGAACCTTTTAGAGTGTTAACCACTCGGATTCTTTTTATTATGGCTAAAAAGCAGTCGGCTAGAATGCCTCTTTAGGCGCCGCATATGCTTTTGTCATACGATGCATGATTGTGCTATTATTTTGTTCTCAACTATATGTTTAGTTTGTTAACTAATCACATAGTTGGGAGCTACACCTAATTAGGTGCATCTATTCGATGCACCATATTCCTTATTTTTTCGCCCTTTACAGTCTTCGTCTTCGCTACTCGGCAGGCCTTGGCATGAAAAGTTTGAAGCACTCGGATTATTATCTTTGAGAAGGCTATGATGGTTGACTGCAAAGGTCTCGGGGGCTACTGTGGAGATTATGGATATCCCATATCTACACGGCGATGATATTTGGACTGGATATAGGATACCGAATATATATAGAATATCTTATTTGTATCTCGGGTTCGTTTCTTAACTTGTACATCAAGGAAACACCTTGAGACTTAGTCGGTTACGACTGTATTTTACCTGTATCTGCATATTCCGTTAGGGATATAGATTATCTTTTGTAACACGGACTCCTTCCCATATATAAGGGGGGTCCGGGTGCCTCTAAGGGGAGAAGTTGATTTTCTCCAAATCATACAATCAATAATACACTCGGCGGATTCATCCCCGGACAGGAGTAGGGTATTACTTCTTGAATAAGAGGGCCTGAACCTGTATAAATCCTTTGTCTTCAAACCCATACACTTTTCCAGCTTGATAGCCACCCCCTTTTATTATTGCCGAAATCTAGTTTCGACACAAACAGTTCAACTCAGCCTACATGTCTGAAAATTTGTTTATGGATGATGTAAATTTAGCTTGTTGACCCCGGGAACACGCTCCAGAGATGCTGACTATCTTTCCCTTCCCCTTGAGCTTCCTAGAAGGTGCCAGGCGGTCGTATTCAAACGGGTGATTATTGTAGTTCCTCGATCGACAACTCCGACGTATTTCCCTGCAGATATACCAGCAAATTAAGTCACTGTTTAGATTCCACCTTAAAATTTTTCACTCTGTCACATCGAACGTTTGAACACCTGCATAAAGTATTAAATATAGGCTAAAAAATAACTAATTACACAGATTGCGACTAATTTGCGAGACGAATCTTTTAAGCCTAATTGCTCCATGATTTGTCAATGTGGTGCTACAGTAAACATTTGCTGATGGTGGATTAATTAGGCTTAATAAATTCATCTCGCAGTTTATTGACGGATTCTATAATTAGTTTATAATTAGTTTTTTTATTAGTGCCCGAACACCTCATACGACAACCTTCATGATATCCAATTTAACACACTAAAAATTTACATCCTTAGATCTAAGCATCTTAGGTGAACAAAACGTAGGTGGCCCCATTAATTGATGATGAAATGCAAACCTAAATCCCTCAAATTAAGCTGAAGTGTGTCGGCAATCAATCTTAAATCTAGCTCCCAAACAAAAGTAAAGATATACATGTACGCGCTAGCATGGGACTGGGAACTTGTATGTGGATCACCCAAGAGATCTCACGTAGTATTCACGTGTGGTTGCTTCCCAGTTACTCGACCTATCGCGCGACCCATGCATGCAATCCTGACTTCGATCTCTAGATTAAGATTAATTTCAACTCTGGTCTGCAGTATCATCACTGTTAATTCCTTCTCTTATAAATACCGGCACCATGCATCCATCTTGTTGGACGGGACCGAGGACAGATCACATCACCACAGTGTGGGTGTAATTAAGGTTGGGAAACGAGTAATTAGCTTAGGTTAATTAGGATTCGATCCATCGATACGATGGCGTTGAGAAGAATGGGCATCATTCTTGTGCTCTTGGCCATTGCTACTCTGCTCTCGCCGGCAGTGTCCGCACGGTTCATCTCTCTGCCCACCGACCATCTTCCAATCACTACGCCGCCCCTCGCCGACGGCCTCGGCTTCGACCTCTACAGCGACTCGTGCCCGCAGCTGGAGACCACCGTGCGCTCCGCCGTGCAGGCGGCGCTCCAGCAGGAGATCGCCCTCGCCGCCGGCCTCCTCCGCATCTTCTTCCACGACTGCTTCCCCCAGGTACTTGTTACTGATTTTGTTGTTGATTAAGTAATGAACACTAGGTTAGCTAGCTCTGTCAACCTAACCTAATTAACCTAATTGAATTTGCAGGGCTGCGACGCGTCGCTGCTTCTGACGGGAGCCAACAGCGAGCAGCAGCTGCCGCCCAACCTGACTCTGCAACCACGGGCGCTGCAGCTCATCGAGGACATCCGCGCCCAGGTGCACGCCGCATGCGGCCCCACCGTCTCCTGCGCCGACATCACCGCCCTCGCCACCCGCGACGCCATCGTCGCCGTACGTACAGATCGATACATGTTTGCCCATTGTGCATATATATATACTGCATCAACGTACTGATCGATGCTTGCATTGCAGTCCGGTGGTCTGCCCTACGACGTGCCGCTCGGCCGCCTCGACAGCTTCGCGCCGGCTCCCAGCGACGCCGTCTTCCAGCTCCCGCAGCCCACCTCCGACGTCTCCACGCTGCTCAGCGCCTTCCAGACCCGCAACCTCGACAACGTCGACCTCGTCGCGCTCTCCGGCGGCCACTCCATCGGCAGGGCGCGATGCAGCTCCTTCTCCAACCGCTTCCGCGAGGACGACGACTTCGCCAGGAGGCTCGCCGCCAACTGCTCTAACGACGGCAGCCGCCTGCAGGAGCTTGATGTCACCACCCCGGACGTGTTCGACAACAAGTACTACAGCAACCTGGTGGCCGGTCAGGGGGTGTTCACCTCCGACCAGGGGCTCACCGGCGACTGGCGCACCAGCTGGGTGGTCAATGGCTTCGCCGGCAACCACTGGTGGTTCTACGGCCAGTTCGGCAGCTCCATGGTGAAGCTGGGACAGCTCCAGGGTCCTTCAGGGAACGTCGGCGAGATCCGCCGCAACAGCTGCTTCGTGCCCAACAGCCAGACCATCCTTGCGGCCGCCGGCGACGATGGCTTCACGGCATCTGCTTGACATCATCACGTCAAAAGTCTTGTGTTGTACAAGACTCGATCTTGTTCTTGATCTGAGCACTAGCTAGCCGTCTCGTGCGTGCATGATAATACTGCGTACGTACTTTGTAGTGCAGTGCGTCCCACGTACGTGACGTATAGTTTAATAAGAGTATCTTTAATCTGTTGAAGATGCCTTGGCTCGTCGTCAATCCTTTGAGGTACGATCGAGAGATGTTTGAGAATTATAATACTCAATCCGTTTCCAAATATTTGATACCGTTTAAATATTTGATACCTTTTACCACATGTTTGACCATTCGTCTTATTTAAAAACTTTTGTGAAATATGTAAAACTATATGTATACATATAAGTATATTTAACAACAAATCAAATGATAGGAAAAAAATAATAATTAATTAACTTTTTTAATAAGACGAACGGTCAAACATATTAAAAAAAGTCAATGGCGTCAAATATTTAAAAACGGAGGGAGTACTACCCCACTAGTCAGACATGAGTGTTGTGCTAAGGATAAGACCCCTTTTACATACAGGTGCAATATTGCACATGTTATTTTCATACGGCTTAAAATATTTATAATAGATAACATTGGTTATGATAACATAAATCTATACACAAACATGTAAAACTAAATTCGATTTACAACTATAATAAAATCAGGTAACGAATAGCACCTGTACGTGCAACGCAAGTAAAATTTGTCGTTATTGTTCTTTTATATGTAGATTAAATTTAAACTTGTATGTTTGTGTACTATCTTCATAATATATCTTAAGCTTTGCTGAATTAGGTGACGGTGGCAATAGAGAAAGGTTAGAGAGGCGGTAAGGACAGGTTTTGAGGGAAGGCCTCGGTGATGGAGGACCGGTGGTGGACAAGAATAGGAGGTAGGTAGCAAGGAGGGCGCCATATTAGCGGATCTCTTAGATGCCACTATGGTGTGGACTGGGTAGAGAGAGACGGCGTAGATGGAGGAGCGTAACTATTTGGACGAGTGGCCGGTGGCGGTGGGATTGTGTTGGGAGGATAGGAATGGGTTTGGTTGGTGTGTGCACGAAGCTCAATGGCATAAAATCGACTGATTCATTTGAAGAAACTCGGTCGCATGAAGGGCTTGCTTTTTTGGCTTTGCCGATTTGATTGGAGGTCATAGATATACCGAAATTTCTGAAATTCTATTCAAATTTTTAAACAAATATTATCAAAATTCATGAAAAATTAAAAAAAAGATGAAAAAATTTGCCGAAATAGTATCGTATCGGAGGGGTCTGAAATTTCAGAAATTTCAGCCCGAAATTTCCAGCCCTGGTCACATGATAGATAGACATCCTCTGTTTTTGGACTTTTCAAAGTCAATAAGATATATCTTTAGCCGCTTAATTCTTTGAAACATATCCAAATTACACTATTGTAACATTATGGAACCTTAACAAACATGGCTATATCATTCTCATATGCATAAAATTTACATTCTACATGTATGGATTCTAGAACAACATTCTTTTGTGGTTAGAGGGGTACAATATATTTGAATGCCAAAGTCTAAAAGCTATTTTGCTTTATATATATCCTTCATGTTACATATAATTTAGATTTTATATATGTACAGTCAGCTGCATGCGAATTCTATGCTTCAATTTTATCTAGCAAATCAGTTGACAGATAAATTAAATGCTCCATTTATTTCCCTATCGATTGCATCACTGAAAGTCACTTTACCCCTTAACAAATCTAGTCATTTTGGACTTGCAGCCACTAGCTATGTACTCCATGTCATCGCCGGATGGTGTCGTCTTGTAGCCACACCCCGGGTGGGGTCGGCAAAATCCACTGGTATGCATGATTGGAAAATTGTGGGTGTTTCCACAAGCCTAGAGTCATTGTAACCGTAATTTACATTAGCAATAGTACTCATCGTTGGTCACCAACTACAATTCTAGTGGACAGATGCACATGCCTGTTTGCAGAAAATGCCGGGAAACAACAACTTGACTTTTGGGTAGGAACGCATGCATCCAGCATCCTCTTGACTGACCAGATCGATTCACAGCATCTGGATTTACTAGTACAGAAAAGCACGTGTCCACGGAAAAAAATTGATACATTTGCCTAGCATGTGGGCATGTGGCAGGCACAATCCGGAAGACACTCCCTAAAGGCAAAGGATTCCATGGCGACCAAAGCCTCCTTGCAACAAACTCCCTCCGTCCTTAAAAAAAAATAGTACGTTTAGTTCACATTAAAATTAAAAATTCGGTTAAAATTGAAACGATGTGATAAAAAAGTTGAAAATTTGTGTGTAGGAAAATTTTGACGTGATGAAAAAGTTAAAAGTTTAAAGAAAAACTTTGGATCTAAACTCGGCTATAATATGGTATTGAATGAGATATTTTTTAGTACAACAAATCTATATTGAGCTTTGTACAGATTCGTTATAAAAACATCTCATCTAATACTAAATTGTTTTATTTTGGGACGGATGGAGCACACTATATATTGCACATCGTTTTATTGGTTGTTTTCCATTGATTTTTTTCCTCTCTGGACTGCTTTGTAGTTTGTACCACTAACTGGCTCGTGAAGCTTTAAAAAGAAGGAAAGAAAAGAAATGGGAATTGGGAGGTGTCTAATTGGTGGGGGCGTGCAACCGTAAGATAGAGATATCAAGCGCAATTAATTGCACCATCACCACTTGCTAATTGGATTTCTTTTCATACACTAGACCACTTGCTAATTAATTGATCAACATCATGGCCCACTGCAACGTTCTTCTTGCAATCTGGAGTCTTAAGATCCGAGAATCCATGCTGAAAAAAATATTTTATTAGTGTGACGACTGACATGTTTGAAACTATTAGAATTTGATTTATAAAATTGATATAATTAGATTTTTCGTTACAAAATCTGTTCATACAAATATAATCTTTGTATGATCTTGATGCAAAGTTATTAAATGGATTAGCCCAAGTCGTATTCTGGAAACCACAAGAAAATACAAAAATGTGAGGTTTAAAATAACAGAGGCAGTATTATTGTACAACACAAATTAAAGATGTGATGGTAACTAAAAGAAATGAGTCTAGCTGGTCAGCTTTATCTTTGTGAAAAAGTCAGCTTTATTTTTCTTTGAATATAGTTAACATACTGCAAGGTTAGGTGGTGATATATTAATTATTGATCTCTGCCTTTGATGTAGGCATATGCCTGCCTCCTGTGGATCAGATCGGGCTTGGACATAACAATTAATTAGAAACAGCAAACTGACATCTTGATAATGTGCTGGCTTGAGCAATCAAGCCACAATCCTAGACCAACATACTATGCACGTAGTAGGAGTATACATTATATTCCACTTTTCCACAAGATAGGGTCCAGTCCAGTATATATATAGGGCATGGAGAGATGGACCATTTGCAGGAGGCAGAGGTCGAGCTGAGAGTGATCGATCTTTGTTAGCTAGAGTGTTGAGCAATGGCGTCCAAGCTGGGTATGGTTGTGCTACTGATCTCGGGCCTCTTTGCTGCCCGTTGCGCGGCCGTGGTGACCACCGGCGAACCCGTCGTCGCCGGCCTCTCCTGGGGGTTCTATGACACGTCGTGCCCGTCGGTGGAGGGCATCGTGAGGTGGCACGTCACCGAGGCCCTCCGCCGCGACATCGGCATCGCCGCCGGCCTCGTCCGCATCTTCTTCCACGACTGCTTCCCGCAGGCACGTCCTACTACCATTTTACTCCAGTAGTTGCCGGTTCGGTTGATGCATGGTGCCTCCTTCTTACAGATGGCAATACATAAAAAAAAAACAAATTAAATACCGAGTTTTAGTAACTACAGTAGTATATTAACATAATTAATTAAGTGTTCAGGGGTGCGACGCGTCGGTCCTCCTGACGGGTTCCCAAAGCGAGCTGGGTGAGATACCCAACCAGACGCTGCGGCCGTCGGCGCTGAAGCTCATCGAGGACATCCGCGCCGCCGTACACTCCGCCTGCGGCGCCAAGGTGTCCTGCGCCGACATCACCACGCTCGCCACGCGTGACGCCATCGTCGCCGTACGTCTAATTCTTAATTAATAATGAACAGTCGGGATTTTTACTCAAGAACTGAACAAATTAACATATTTAATTTAATTACATTTACATGGCAGTCCGGCGGGCCCTACTTCGACGTGCCTCTGGGGCGGCGCGACGGGCTGGCACCGGCGTCGAGCGACAAGGTGGGCCTCCTGCCGGCGCCCTTCTTCGACGTGCCCACGCTCATCCAGGCGTTCAAGGACCGAAACCTGGACAAGACGGACCTGGTGGCGCTGTCCGGCGCGCACACCATCGGACTAGGCCACTGCGGCAGCTTCAACGACCGCTTCGATGGCTCCAAGCCCATCATGGACCCTGTGCTGGTGAAGAAGCTGCAGGCCAAGTGCGCCAAGGACGTGCCGGTGAACTCGGTCACGCAGGAGCTGGACGTCCGCACGCCCAACGCCTTCGACAACAAGTACTACTTCGACCTCATCGCCAAGCAGGGGATCTTCAAGTCCGACCAGGGCCTCATCGAGGACGCGCAGACCAACCGCACCGCCGTCCGCTTCGCCCTCAACCAGGCCGCCTTCTTCGACCAGTTCGCACGCTCCATGGTCAAGATGAGCCAGATGGACGTCCTCACCGGCAACGCCGGCGAGATCCGCAACAACTGCGCCGCTCCCAACCGCCGCTCCTCCGACCTCCTCAACGCTGCCGACGACGACCAAGGCTTCGCCGCCGACGCCTAATTAACTTATGGAGTAATTAGTGATCGTTTTATGTTTATGTTTTGTGCTAGTAATAATAATTAAGAGGATGCCATCTGCGCGTGGTGTTTGGTTTCCATGCATTCTCTGCTTAGTTAGAATGGTTTTGCTTCATAAAAAGTAAAGTTACTACTCGATTCCTCGGTCGGGACAGAGTAACTGCATGTCAAATGTATCATCATCATCAGTTAGTGCTACATCATCACAACTGTCTTTGTCACAGCATAAACCCAAAATTAATGTTTCCATCGTTCGGCATAGCACGACACTTAATCAGATAAAAACAAAACAAAGTGTAGTTTATTAAATTGCACAGCGCTGGCACAGGACCGGGAAGCATACGTGACACGAGTACGACTACTCAGAAGTCACTCACCCACCGGAGTTAAAGTGCATAACTAGATGCTCTGAATCTGGGACAAAAGGTAGATTGGTCAAAGTCGTCCACGTTTGCACACCATCACTAGTGTACACCAACGATGATCATGTGAATGTTTTGGGACAAAGGAATCCAATAACTCAGCAAATAAAAGCGCAACAAAACAATCAGCCTTAGTTCATTAAGATATTACTACTACTTTGGAGCAGATTTTACAACGTGCTAGCATTAGAAAAGAGAGGTAGAAGTAGCCAGTATATAGCATTGGAAATAAACAAATGGAAAGGTTTATATATACTATACTACTGTATATATAAACCTTAAGAAAGACGGGTAGTACATTCTGCATCTGGATCTTGGATGACACCTCCTGATGATTGGCCCGCAGCATGGTGGAGACTGGAGAGCTTGACCAGCACAATCATATCAACCACGCCAAGAACAGAACCCCAGGATACGAGGATACTCAGACGGGCTTCGTTTGGGCCTCCAAAATTATAGCACTTCAGTCAATGGGCCAGGCAGCACAGCCTATAATATATCACTCTTCTTTTTCCCTGCTGCCTCTACTGTATGAATATTACTCTCACTTTCAAGTTTCACACTTTCACTTTCTTTTCTTTTCTTGCATCAATCACCACCATTTTTTCTCACGATAAAATTGCTCTCGTCCTAGCCTGTTACCATTAGATTGATCTCTGGTACTGCACAAGAGACATCTACAGTTATGGCGAATCATTCCCATCAATCAGCCTAAAACTTTTTTTTTCCGTGGAATCAGCCTAAAACTGACTATGGAACACCCACATATCAGCTGTACAGAGCAACATAACAGGAGTAGTTACGAAGTTAGCACTAGTATGCATTATGCAAGTGGTCAGACATCACGAACGATTTGTTACCATCATCATCCGCGAACTGCTACATATCAGTTTGTTACTCCCTCCGTCCCATAATATAAGGGATTTTGAGTTTTTCTTAATCTGTTTGACCACTCATCTTATTTAAAAAATTTATGCAAATATAAAAAACAAAAAGTTACGCTTAACGTACTTTGGATAATAAAGTAAATCACAAAAAAATAAACAATAATTCTAAAATTTTTTGAATAAGACGAGTGGTCAAACGGTGTAAGCAAAAACTCAAAATCCCTTATATTATGGGACGGTATATTATGGGACGGAGGGAGTACTTTTTTAAAAAAAAAAAAAAAAACTCATTAGATTACTATAGATTAAAGACAGAGTTTAAGGGAAATAAATTCCCTGATACATCGCCTGAAACAAAATATTATACAGAACAGAACCATCCTTATAGAAGGTAAGGTCGTACTCGTAAAGGATAAGTGAACTAAGAAAACAACTTTGCAAGCAAACGGAACCAAACAACAGTATTTTCTGAACTTACAGAAGGTAAGGATAACAACAGTTTGTTACTCAAAACACAATTTCCTCTGCGTCCATGGGAAGCAAAATTAAGAGGTCTTAACTGCAAGTGTCAAAAAGGAAAAAAAAAATGAAGCTCTTGCCAGTCCCACGGACGCCAAGGACCAGCAGACCAAGTCAAGCAGGCAGAGGCAGTAAGCAATTTGCCAAAAGAAATGCCAAACTTGCGCATAGCATGCGCTCTGGTTTTACGCTCGAAAAGAACAAGCCACACAACTTAAATTGGACCGCAGATTCACACCAAGAAGATTAGAATGCAATGTAATTTCAAGAGTAAATTTCAGAAAACTCCACATATTATGATCGAAGTTGCACAAAATTATGACATATAACACATAACCATAGGTTTTGTGGTCTATATGTTTCATAAAACCCCACCTTAAAATATTGATTAATTTTAACATATTTGAAACATTTTTTTTGGTAGCGAATAGTTAAACTATCAACCTTATCATTATTAATCAAGAACTTCATAATTAAAAAAATTATATACACTCCATGTTTTAGAGTTGTAAGTATATCGTGCTCAACATGCAAAGGGTGAGGTTTTGTGAAACTTTAGAGCCATAATACATGGGGGATGGCGCCAAGTCAGAATACTTGTGGTTTTCTACAACTTATATCATAAAACATGGGGTTTTCTAAAATTTACTCTAAGTTCAATTCACAATGTACAATGTTTTTATTCAGGTTATCACAGAAACAGGAAAATTCTCCCAAACTTGACAGCTCAACAATGGTGAGGTCCATTTCCAATTCAAAGTGGCAATGCACGAGAGGTTGCAAGAGCTAAGCAACCACCCAGGCAGAAAAAAAATGGGAAGATAATGGCATTTCGCCTAGGCATGAAAAGAAATGGAAAGATAATGAGATTCCGCCTTATTGACCAAGCAACCTGCACAGCAATCTTGCTGCAACAGTACTCTAATTATAGGGATAAACACCTTGGCATTGACTTCTTCACCTGACTGGGTTGGTCCTAGGGTTCTAGAACGTTTAAACACACCAAACTCTCTTGAATAATTCATACAACACAACACTACTAGTTTACAGTGTTATAGTCAGGTAAAGGGTAAATATAATACCACAGATTACAGAAGTCAACTAATAACAGTGCAGCCGAAGTCACCTTAGAAACGAATACCACAATCACCCCATCTAAGTCATAGAACTTCTCACTGAAGTCACTGCAGATGTTTCTAAACAGCCAGTAGCTACAGACATTACTCACACAGAGGCAATGCCATAAAACAGTACAGTCCAGCATCATTTACCTATGCATTTGCTGAATTGCAGTACAAACTGCAAACGTAGGTACACAAGGTTTCTAATGGAGCGTCTTATATCGTGGAGTGCCCAGTGGAATTTGGCTTTTCCTAAATGGATTTCAAGGTTTATTCTAACTTATAGATATACTCACTCCGTCCCAAAATAAGTGCAGCGAAAGTGTAGTTCACGGTGGCACTTATCTTGGGACGGAGGGAATAAGTGACAATAACAATACAAATTTATATCCCATTTAGTGATACTAGTTCCTATCCCTAATACAACTTTCATACAACAAAAATGTAAATGTGTACATAAGTTTTGAACGTAAGTTAAGTAACCTTAAAATTGAACCTTCTACATAGATATAATCATTCCAACAAAGCAATACTTCTTGCAAGAAAGAAGAGTATATGTGTGTTGATTATATAACTAATAGTACTAAATAGAGAATACCAAACAATTTGTTCTAATATTGATCTAAGCTCAATAAAGGACACAGAAGCAGACATTTGCAAGCGGATGTTCTACTTATTCATCCCAAATGTAATACCCATTGGGCTTTCCTGTTTTGCGTTATTGATCATAGACTGTGTCAACGGAGCACACGATGAATGTGGCCATTTTCAAATCTAAACGCACAACAAAACAAAGGGCAGAAGAAAGAAAAGGAGCATTGTTCGGCCTTTTGAACTAGAACAAAAACAAGTCAATAATCAATAAAATTCTGTATTCTTTTTTCTTCCGATCATATACACATTTGTTGGAACATCAACAAACAAAATGTTGGGAATAGCAGTATATCAAAACCTCACAGCTCAATATCTGAGCTAACCTATCCGATTGTATAAATTACTCCCGCCCACGCCTTTTTACAATATAAACCTAATCCACAGACTAATCATGGAAACAAACCAACCAGAGTGCTCAACATTACCAGGACAAGCAATGAATGAAATAAATGATATTAGACCATTAGTACGAAGAACTGCTCAAGTAAGGATTCACAAGCTACAAAAGGAGAGAAAAAAAATGAAAGAAATAACTCAAATGTATCATAACTAAGGCCAGGCCTTCTTCATGCAGAGACATGTATATGTAGATGCTAACTTTTACAGAGAAGCTACCTCGGTGGAGCGGCTGCATTTCACACAAAGTTGGATCAAGCAATGAGTCCTCACCCGGCGTTGTGCGGCCTACTGAGGTAGTCGAGGATTTCTGTCCGGGTGCGCACAACCCTGTGGAACATCTCCCGCACCTGGCGCTCAAGAGGGTCCAGCCCATCCTTGAGTGACCCGCAAACTTGCACCAGCTCCTGCGTGGCCTCCTGCACCTCGGAATCCTTGTCGTCGGCCAAGGGGAACTCCGCAGCATCAGTGACCTCCATGAGCTGCCGCGAGCAGCGCTCAATCTGGTGGATCTCCTTGAGCAGGCCGCATGAGTGCTTGCGGTCCTTCTTCTTGGACTCGTCGAGGATGCGGTCGAAGAGTGTGATGAGGGGGCCAGCCCAGGGGAAGGTCCTGGGCACCGCTGTGAGGTGCGCCTGGAGGCCGCGGTCCTGGCATGGGATTGCTGCCACGAGCGCCCAGGTGACGACGAACAGCACGGCGCCCATGGCGTAGACGGCGGAGGCGAGGCCTCCGGTGGCGGCGATGTCGTTCGCGCGGGGCACCGTGAGGCCTCCCCCGATGGCCTGGAGCTGGCGCGCGGCGGACCATGTGCGGGAGACGCTCCAGGAGAGTGACCTGAGATGGGAGCCAGAGCCGGACCCGGAGCTCCCGCCGCTGCTGCTCCGGCGGTGGTGGCCGTGGCCGTGGGGAAGGGAGTCCGAGTAGTACTGGCGCTGCCGAATGAGCGGTTGCGCTGTCCGACGACTCCCCCAGCGTCCTTGTCGTCGAGCATGAGGATGGTGAGATCGGTGAGGGCCTTGCGGGCGCGGCGGATCTGGGCCTCTCCTCGCTGCGCGGCGGGGGCGGTGGCGAGAGCGGCGGCGGCGATGGCGAGGTGCTTGCGCCACTGGCGGATGAGGTCGAGGCCGTCGCGGAGGGCGTTGCAGAGGTCGAGGGCCTTGACGGCGCGGTCGAGGAAGTCGAGGAGGAGGCGGTCGAGCGGGGGGCGGGAGAGGGGCTGGGAGTCAGCGAGGGCGAAGAGGATAGCGCGGAACTCCTCGAGGCAGATGAGGAAGGAGTCGAGGAGGCGGCGCGTCCAAGCGAGGGAGAGGAGGTCCGGGGCGGAGGGGTCGGAGTTGGAGTCGGAGAGGAGGTCGTGGAGGAGGTCGGCGGCGTGGCGGTGGAAGGCGTCGATCTCGAGGTCGGAGGAAGAGGGGTGTTGGGTGTGGGAGTGGGAGTGGTGGTCGGGTGGGGGAGGAGGGATCTGGTCGCGGCGGTGGGAGAGGAAGGAGCGGCCGAAGGAGGTGAGCGGCGCGGCCGCCGACGAGGAATCGGTGGCCGGCATTGCGGCGGCGGCGCTAGGGTTAATCGATTGATTGATGGATGGATTGCTTCTCCCCGTTTCCAACTCCTCTTGTCTTGTGGAGACGAGAGAGAGAGAGGCGAGGGGATAGAAGAAGAAATTGGGATTTACTACTAGTAAAGTACTCCTCGCGAGCGAGGAGGCAGAAGAGGAGCAAGCAATGCAAGAAGCGAGGAGGGGTTTGTCTGTCTGTCCGTCTGTGAGTATTGGAGGAGTAGCGCTGCTGGTGATATCTGACTGACGAGGTGGGGTCAGGGGTGGTCTGTCTCCACCCTGGCTCAGCCTGTCGCGTTGCTGGCTGCCTAGGGCCTTCCCTCCCTACCATTAATCTACTATACTACTGCCCTGGTGTACGCCTGCCTGTATTGTGTACACTCCCAACGTGTGTTTTGCACGCTAATCTCAATCAAGCTTTTAAAACGCTGAGTATTAGTAATGTTTACACTATGCAGATATCATCCTGTTCCTGTACATAATTTGGAGCCTCCCTGTAGTTTCCATTGGACAACCTGACACACCAACAACTCTTCCCACCTGGATTAAAGCAACATTTTGGAGGCTGTATAATTATATTTGTACTGTACGTCTCAATATTTTTGTGGTGTAGTATACGTTTTGACTGTTCTCGGACCTTGTAGCGACGTTGATTAGTCATGCGTACCAACGATCGACTTGATATTTACTACTGTACTCCACTTGCCGGCCAATACGCAGCTCCATTTGGAATTTCGGTATTTTTATACTAGTACGGTTCAGATTTTTCACTAGGCAGCAGCATGAATGTATTTTTTTCTTAACGGAAAGGCCCTACTGTGCTATTTTCCGTTAAAAAAATGACAAGAGTAGTACATCCTCCCTCCGTTTCAAAATGTTTGATATCGTTGACTTTGTAAGTACGTATTCAAAATGTTTGATATCGTTGACTTTGTAAGTACGTATTTGACCATTCGTCTTATTCAAAAAATTTAACTTATTTATTCTTTTCATATCATTTGATTTATTGTTAAATATACTTTTATGTACACATATAATTTTAGATATTTCATATTTTTTTTAATACGACGAACGGTTAAACATGTGTTATAAAGTTAACGATATCAAATATTTTGAAACGGAGGGAGCATGCGATTGTAACCCAAGAGAGAAGGGAGACGACCATTCCGGTTCCGGAGGCCGTCACGCCCTGGAACACAAGAATTCTCTACACGTGGCTCTATGAGCTACTACATGGCTCACGTGTAGACCAAAAACAGGTCAAAGGCACGTGATTGATTGGCCGTGGTCGCCGTCGACGACGAGCTCTGCTCAACCGGAGAGTGTGTCACTGACAGCTGAGCCCAGGTGTCCGACTCCCATACAAACTGCAATACGGAGTACGGAGTACTAGACTCGCGGCGTAGAATACGGCACGTGCCATTTGGCCGCCGCTAATCTCTCTTTTGTTTTGATTACTCTATCTACTAATCGAACTTAACACCAAATACGACCAATTGGCAGACAAGGTCATGGGAAGGAGGCAAGCGAGGTTGGTTTTGGTTTTGGTTTTGTTTTCTAATCGATCGCTGCCAATGCAGCGGCGGCGATTTCTCGTCTGTTGCGGTTGGGTTTCGATGCCTGCCTGCAGCTGCAGGCCAGCCTTTAATTAATTAATTAAGCAAACCACAAACCGATCCATCCAACATTATCTTTTACTCCTACAAGCAACAGATTAATGTAATGATGCTGACATTGCTACTGACAGCTACTATTTGTAAGGCGTACTACTACAGCTTCTACTGATTAATAATGTACTCCTGCCCTAAATTAGCCACATCACAACTCCTATCCTCCATGAGTAAGTACTAGTACTAGTAGTAGAATACTCTCTCAATCTATTTTTTGGTTGTCATATTTCTAAATCTGGAAAATTTATTTTTAATAGGTATATTTCAATCCAACAAATTATCATCTTAATGACTTTCTCAGATTTAATACGTGACTCTCCATTAGCATGTTTAAATGGATGATAAGTAGAATTGCTTGTCATTGGTCTGTGTGCCAAGATGAAATATGACTATTAAAAGTAGATGGTGGGAGTATTATACTACGAGTGCACTAGGTTTTTCTAATTGTATTAAACTAAACTCGTCATTAATTAAGCAATGAGTACTACTGTAGCACGGTACCTGACTTCTTTCACGGGGACAAATGGTCACTCCGGTTGGTTGGCCACATCAGACAGTCAGTAGCTACCCAAGATACAATAGAATCAGATTGATTGATAGCTGTTGCTGTCTGGCCATAATAATGCTCAAAGCTCACCATCTCCATCATTTTAACCCCACATTCAGACCGACGGCTCCCTCAACCATTCATTCATTCTCTTGCTCAAAACTTTTTAAGCCCAACATACAAGAAACAAGATCTTGTTCTATCTTACAGACATCTACACTTCAATCCCCTTTTTACACTTCTAACAAACACGCACGCCGGAGGAACACAAGGATTCAACCAAAGAACTGCACATGAATACACACAAGTGACTAGACACAGAATTCTCCTATCCTAAAATACCATACGCCTGGAGTGGCTTAGGTCCTCAGGTACACTGGAGTGCTTTCTGATCGCTATTCTACTCATTTATTCACATGCCAGCTTGGTGTCAAAGCTGGTCAAACAGATAGCAAAAGCCTGGAAGGCCGACAATGGGTACCGGTAATCCATGGTGAACATGTCCTTTGCAACTTTGCCGAATTGCAGGATCACCGTATCATGGTTGGATGATGACGACGACGACGAACTCGATGGCTGAGAAGGTTGGGTTTGCTGTTGTGCAGCCTGCCCTGCCTGTGAAGGTTCAGAGGCGGCTCCAGAAGATGGCTGAGGTGCAGCAGCTATCAGCTGGAAGTTCTTCACTGAAGCCACCGTCACACGGCCACGGAAGTTGAGGCACCAGCATTGCAGCTGTTCATGCCACCTTGGTGCTTTGTTCCGGAGAACCAAAGGCCTCTCCTTGTTCACATCATCGCCATCTTGCTCTTGCTCTTGCCCTTGCAGAGCCCCTCCCCCAAACTCAGAGAAGCGAGAACTACTGAAGTCTGTCGAATGATCTGTGATGGAGTACTTGGAGAAGGAAGTTGCCATACTGCGGAAGGACTCCTCAAATAACCTTGGGAGGAGCTCTTTAGGTTGGCCAGGCACAATGCCACCAGGCTCTACTGCTGATGCTGGGATGGAATGCATAGCGCATTGCATCCGTCTTGGTCCCCGGGTTCCAAGCACATTTAGCTCATAATTCACCTGCACGATGGGATAACAACCCGTTGGAACTTTTGGGGAAACTTTCCTAGAGGAGAACCGACGGCTCGTCCGTTCTTGTGAGCAAAGTGTCCGAGCATTGTATGGAGGCTGCGTGTCATAGATGATGAATTTGGTGCCGAGGAAATTTGACCTGCAATACCATGGTGTATGTCAGATTATTATGCATGTATCTGTGACCACGTGTATGTGACAATGTGGGTGCAAGAAGATTGATGGCAAAGGAACTTTACCTCAACTTCCCAATATAGCCACTACTTGATCGGGAGATATTTTTGGAGTCCATAGAAATGATGTAGTCAGTGTGTGTCGTTCGCCGGCTCCTTTTAGCTGATAGTAGGAACTTTCCAGTCTCATCAAGCACAGCTACAAGATGCAATTAAAATTGTTAGTGCAATTTCTAGCTTTCTCTTCAATATACTACTCAGAGTATTGTAACGAGTTATCTGAAAATGCTGTAGGTAATCTCTAAAATTGTGTCGAAGAAGTCCTTTATACAGCAGAAAACATGGAACTACGGCACATCACGTGTTTACTTTAACTTAAAAATCATGTTATATGGGAGGTTCCGAAGCAGCATCATTAGAGCCACAAAAGACCAGTGCTGGCATCCCTACGCATTAAATGATAGGTGAGTGTTTGCATAACTGCAATATCTACATATCAATTACCAAGATACATTGCTTTCAGAGAGACAATAGGACTAGTATACGTCGTTTACAAAAATGGTAGCAATCAACGGACGAGAAGAAAGTTTATGGAAGACTGTTCCGAGGGCAATAATTACCATATTGCTTATAGCATGCGTGAGTAATCATATTCTTTTCGATCACTCAACAAGCTCACTTTCTTACAGCAAGTTGAATCGGTTTATACTATAGTACGTTCGTTTCCAGTCGCTTTTGAACAGACTAAAATTTCATACTAAAACAGATTTTTCAAAATTACTGAAAATGACCACCAAAATTCTACTACGCCAAGCATTAAGTCAAAAATTGATTCTACAAGGAGGTTTTACACAAGAATAGATAAAGACAGTCACTGGATGCTAGGATAAGGATTGACAAAGTTAAGGACTAAAATAGTAACAAAACAAATACTCCTATGAGTACTGTCTAGTTTATCTGCCAACAAACAGATCTGTTATAATATCAAAAATAGTGCCGATTAGAGCAATAATGGGTAAGTGGAAAAAGATTACAGGAACTTACCAGAGCTAAGGCACAGGTAGAGATGATAAGTTAGTTTTGATTTGTCCCTTTTTATGAAACATTGGATTACTCCATCTCGAGGTCCAGGCTGTGCACAAGAGATGAAAAACATTGTTAAAAGACAGAGGAAATATCATATCTCAACAAGAAAACAAGGATAAAGAGATGAGACCAAAGGGGTAAACTTGAATATAACATCTCATCAATGCAGAGTTATTTCATCAAGAAAGTGATTGGTACGATAATTGGAAAACAGGTTACGCATAAGATTCAGTCTCAGCCAGGTCCCAAGAAATGTAAAAACCCCGAGGTCCAAATTTTGTTCAGTGCCCAAGCCCCATGGGGCAGGCCACACATGTATATCGCATATTTGTCTTTCACTCATTTACTCTAGAAGAGCTAACCTGGAAGTAGCATTGGACCAAATGGCACTACTGTCTGCTAGTGTAAACCAATGTAAACTAACAGTGTGGTGTGAAATTAAAGGTTGGAGAAATACAAAAGAACATGATGGGAACTCCAGCACCGCTCAGGGAATAATGATTGTAATAGGAATTACGTATTGTAGTTATTTGCTATTGGATTCAGTGGTTACCTGCTTAAGAGACACTGGAAATGTAAGCTTTCCACAAAATTCAGGGTTCCTGACAATATCTTTGCACATGTCTCTCCAAGTCGTACAAACTGAAGCGCAGGCAACAACATCCTTGCGGGAGGGCCAATTGCTATCATCTTCCTCCAGCCTTTTCATCACGTCGCGAAGTAATTCAGGAGGAAGACCAGCCCACTTGCTTTGCTGAGCTACCACGGGCGTGTCATCCAGCTCGCTTGATGGTCCAATGGATTTCCCTCTGTGACGGCCCGAAAAGCCTGAAATTTTCACCTCGAAACTCCGCTTGGATAGAGTCCCGAAACTGTCCCTGAAATCACGAACTATGCTGCGGAAAGACATCTCCAGATGTGATGCAGGTCAGGAGTGAACAACTGCAAAAGATACACAAGCTGCAATTAACAACTAATAGCACCGGTCATCGAAATCTGCTGAAATCAGCTCAGCCTCACTCATCATCAGAGGCACTGCTTATGGACAATATAAAAAACAGAGCTGCCATAATTATACTACATCTTGATAAGCTCAAGTCCAAAGATTGTTTGTATGTATGCATGGCCACATGATGTCATGGTTGGGCGGATCCAACTTGAGACATGGGGGTTCAGTGTAATGAAAATTAAGAGAAGAGCTTCTTCCAGATCTAGAAGAGAAGCTAGTCCCGATGGGGGGAGAGAGAGATGAAATCAGAAGGCAGAGGATGGGGATGCTCACCAGGACGACGGCGCCCTTCCCCTCCCCCTCCCCTGCTCTGCTCTCGCGAGTCGCCAGATGGAGTCGATGGGCGCAGGCACAAGGAGCGGAGGAGACGAGACGGGGGATTTTCTTTTATGCAAGTGAAGGGGGAGATACTCGAGTGCTCTACCTTTTATATCAAAATTTTCACATAGTAAAAACTAGCCCATTCTTTATCAACAATGATGATTCGTGACCCACGTGTCAGTGGTACTAAGAAAAAAAATACAAAAAACTCACTTAGAGATTATATCGATAGTAAACTTTTCGGACCCTAATAACCACTAACTGCCGCCCCAACCACAATCACTACCGCTCTTTCCTCATGATACACCATTGTTCCTCTTCTCCTTCACATGCGTCGTCGTACCCTCTAGCCATCGGTATGTCTCTTCTCCTCCCAAGTCGTAATGTACACTATTTTCATGGTCGTCGTTAAGGCTAAGGGTGTCGGGTTTGCAGAGACTCGGGGAGGCAGGAGTCAGACCCGTTGGAGAGCAGAGACGCTAAATCTAGGCTCCTACTTGCTAGATCCGGCGGTTCCTCAACCATCAGAGGGGAAAGAGATAATTAGTGCGCGAAGTGGTTGTAGAGTTACTGAACTTGTAGGTGTAACGAAGGTGGAGTCACCGGATTTGGAGATAGATAGAATGGGGTGATCCAAATTAAAACAAAAATGTGAAATTAGATGTTGTTAAATGAAAAAAAGTTAAATAATGATATAATATGAAACCTTTTAAAAATACATAGTACAAACTCTAATAACTTTTTTCATTGGATTACGCAGGCTAATTAACAGAGAACCATTAGCTCGAGCAAGTACTTCAATGCTACTCTCCGTTTTAAAATAATATTTTCTTCGTTTCAAAATATATGTTGTCGCTAATTTTTCGTATTAGTTTGACTATTCATCTTATTAAAAATTTAATATAAATATATAAAAGTATAAGTTACTATTATAGTTTCTTTAATGGTAAAATAAGTTGTAATAAAATAAATGATATGTACATAATTTTTTAAATAAAACGAATGGTAAAATATTATGAAAAAGTCAACGGCATCGAAATGGTACTAAGTAAAGCTGGCTAGTACTACATTCGTTTTATATTATAAGTCATTTTGATTTTTTAAGTTAAATTTATTAGGTTTGATTAATTTTGTAGAATAAATTAGGTACACCTATAACATTAAATTAGTTCCATTAAATGTAATATAGAATATATTTTGATAATATGTTTGTTTTGTGTTAGAAATATTATTTTTTATAAATTTGGTTAAATTTATAAGAGAATCGATATGAATCGGAGGAGGTAGAATATTTTGTGAGTTATGTACGATGGTGAAATAGTTTAGAGAAATGAGGCAAGGCAACAAGATTGGTTAGTGGAGCCATAAGAGGCAAAAGTGAATTAAACACGATCCACTTTGCGCGTTTGCCTTTTTGAAAAAGAGAGAGAGAGAGAGAGAGAGATCCACCTTGCAATACAGTCTACAGCGACATACTCCACTTTGGCGAGCATAATCCGACATGGAGAGCACTAGATAAAAAATCTACAAAAGTTTTTCCTGGCTGCTCAAGACACATGAATCGCTCCCCGAGCATGGAGACAACTGAAAAAGATCGCATCTTGTCTATTCCTCCTGCAAATATTTGTTCCTCTCTGATTGGGAGGCAAGCAATGCATGGATCGATATGTAGCACTAGTAATCAATCTTTATATATGCATCGAGTCAGCTAGGCTCTTGCATTTACATAGTAATTTACATGTGCATTCCACTGAAACTCAGACTTTACTAAAAAGTAGGACACCTAAGCTTCAGGCTTGAGTAATTCAGAATAATCTTGAATCCCTATTTGTCGGATCTACTGAAATTTTTCTGCAACTTTTCCCCTCTCGAGCATCTAATCTGGTCCAGTAGTAGTACAGAGCGACATGATAGCTTAGCTGCCTCCCAAACACCGCTGCAACTGCGAGCAGAGAAGGCGGTTTTGCGTAACTATCTGCTACTACTAGTATTCTGCTGTCTGTTACAGGTAAACAAACTGAACCTGACCGGAGACTTTTCGGTGCTCTCTGAAGAAAATTACTTGAAACTTGCTTCCCGGCATTGATTCTCTGATAGGCTGTTAACACTTGTAATTCATTCCATTTTCTTCTATACCATTGTCCTGCTAACTAAATATCTAATGCGATTCAGATATTTAACGACCTGGACAGCCGCAAGAGAAATCTGAAAAATGTAGCAGCCGAGGCGAAAACCTAATTAAAACATTTAGTTCAGTGGAGCACTATCAGCAATGTATACAGAGAAATATTATTATACTCACATCACACCTGCTGCCTCTTCTGCTAAAATGCTTGCAATATGCAGAAGAGATAGACCACAGCAAGTGCCTGAGCCAAGTGGAAATCTCTGAAACAAAAAGGGATATGAGCTAGTGTACTTATCCATCAAATAAACAGGATAAGGAAAGCACAAGGCAATAACACAAGATGACTTTTTCCACATGATGAAAGGAAAGGGAATGGGAAAAAATATCTCAAGATTTTTATCTGCCATTTATGCATACAACTGTTCAATTCCTGCATCGATCGAGTTCACTTTTCATGATGACAGAGAAAGGGAGAGAAATTGATCATCCTTTTCAGTTCGGCGGTGTTAAGATAACCACCACCTAATACCTTGTGGTTATCGATCTCTCAGAGATTGGTACTAGTACTATTTAAGCAAAAGTAGCCCTTGATTAATTAGCTGCCAAATATCATTGCGATGACCTAATCAGGCAAACCAAGACAAATATCAGTCACTGTGCATATAAACATAGAGCAGTGGATGAATAAAAGCAAGCAAGCATCATGGAACTGCTGATAGCTACATCTAACCAAATGGTCCAAAACTCCAAATAAATGTGGTTGCTGCTGCTGTTATTGCTGCATGCCGGTAGCTTTTTTTACTCTTCCTTAATCCTTTACTTCTCCCGGTCTCTTGTTAACTTGGACCAAAAACATTTCACCAGAAGCAGCACAAATCATTGGATAAGCTCAATCATATCAGCTAACAATATCTATCATATTGCGTACCACTCATACACATAGTTATATTCGCACTTGCAGATAGAAGTCAAATAATAATGTTGGGGGAAATGCATGCATATGCATACGAAATCACGTGGAAACAAACAAACAAACAGGCAGATAATTAAACAAATGCATGAGGGCAACAAAGCTTTACATAGTGCAAATTAACAATACTACTAAATCTGCATCTGGTTCTTGTTTAATGCTAATGAGTAGTACTGCAAGTAGCAGTAGGCCAGGTCCCCTGGAAATTAAACAAAACGAGACACACGAGTGATTAAGAGAGGGCAGAAACACATCTCTCGCCGGATAAGGTTAAAAATGTCGCGATCTGTCATGCCCACCAGCACTGAAATGATGGATTAATTCTTCTCCACCCGGAAAGATCACAAAATGAGCTAGCTAGGTGGAAGTACTCCATGAGACAGCAACCAGCACCACCTTGGCTGCCTCTGCTTGCTAAAGGCTGCAGATATATATAGATAGATAGTGCAGCGACCACTACCACCAGCAAGATCGATATATGTAACGATTCAATTCGCGTTGTGATTGAGTCAAGCAGAAATGCTTCTTATATATGCGAATTGAAGAATATATATGTATGTACGTGATGCTTCGTGTTGGAGGAACTTTTTTCGTTCGTTCGACCCGTGGTTTCTTTCCATTTGTTTACTCGCTTTCGTGGGCGTATCTAATGCTAAGCTACCATATCTCTATATGTTTAAGAATAATGTTTTATTAATTAATTAGTCCGGTGGGGTGCAAGTATATATCGCTCACATATATCGTGTCCCTACTTTATTGTTGCATGCTGTAACCCGGATTGGATGCTGGTTCATGTTGCTATCTACTCTGAAGTTCTGAATGAACAATATACTGAAGTAATTAGACTGCTAATTAATAATGCTGAGGCTTCATTGGACTTTTTTTTTAAAAAAAAAACACAAGCCAACGCAGCATGAAGTACTTTCTTTCAGTTAATTGCCGTGTACTTGTTGTTTTTAGTTTGTATGCTTCCAATCTTCTAAACAATGTGTTTCAGGAAAAAAAATGTATATAAAATTAAATCTCCTTAGAATACTTTTCTAAAGCAACCTTTCAGTAGTTAATCCATTCAAAAAAAAATTGCGAAAGTTTTCTAGCAAATTCGTTCTTAAATAACTATCATAAAAACTAGATTATTCACTCTTCCACGTGCTCTAGATTTACAAAACACTCGTAACTTACCGCGTGCAATACTATATATAACTCTAATCAAAGGAAAAACAAAGCATCGATCCATCAATCTTAGCTATTTTAAACGGGGCCTTAGAGTGGATTAAACTTTTTTAGCTTGGAGTGAACTGAACTAGGGAAGGCTGGGAATAAGACAGCTTAATTTGTCGTCTTTATTAGAATCATCATACATGTATATGTATGTGTTTCATGAGGAGGAGCAGCTAGCTATTAATAAATTAATTTTATCTAAAAAAAAGATATTAATAAATTAATTTATTTTTGTGCAGAGAAATACGTTGTGTTTGTCGTTTGGGATAGATCGAGCGTATCTTTAAGAAGAAAACGTCGGCACGTAAGTGAATCATTTATGCAGACAGCTTGGGTGATGAATGGATAGAAATCAACCTGACAGCTTGTATATATGGTCAAAACCAAAACCGTTTGAGAAATCAACAGCTATAGCTGCCCTGGGTACGTACGTAGTATGTGTGACGCCGGCTGCTCCGCATCCATATCATCCTTTAATTCGTTCGTTGCTCATGACGTTGACACGCACGGAATTATACTTGTTTGCATATTTTGTCCGAGTCGTCGTCGCCATCGCCGCGGTATCACCAAACTATCAATGGACGAACGAATCAATGGTTGGTGAATGGTGAGGGTGTGACGAGTGACTACTTGGTTTTAGGCCCAGCCCAACTCTGCCATGATTTAAATCAGCCCAGCTCAGCCCATGATATACCCGAGACCAAAAGTAGCCCATTAACTGGTCGGAATCGAAAGCAATTCTTTCCGGTACGTAGCCCAACCCATCTTCTTTCCCTTGCCAATATTCTCCTCTGCCTACTTGTTGTGCCAATCCGATGGCGATGAATAACAACTCAAGAAGAAGGGGCACCCCACTCTGGCCGGGTTACATTGCAAGTTTACAATTTGAATTTGGCAGAAATTGGAGAAGTAGTGTTCATGCATGTGTACGTACGTATATATTAATGATCAGAGATAGAGCAACAATATATTTAATCTCCTCTCCTACCTACCATACATGCATATCCTACGTACGCACGGTCGATCGATAGCTTGTTGATCGCGACCGCTCTCGTTTGTTTGTTTCTTGTTGATTGGTTAATTGGTTTCTACGTACTCGCGCTGATTAATTAATTAATTAGTTACCCTCGAACAGAGATCATGGATTAAGCAGGCCGTACGTACGTGCGAGTTAATTAATTAGCAGCTAGCTGAGCCTGAGCTAGCTAGAGTAATTAATTAATTAAAACCCGCAAGAACGATGGAAGTATCTATGGCTGTGTCGTAAAGAGGATGCAATATTCGCCCGGTCCGAATCCGATGGTTGTTCGCATGCCGTCGTCGTGGCATCAGCATCAGCTTCCGCTTGTTGGTGCGGCTGCGGCTGCGCTTGTTCCGGCGGCACGACGACGACGACGTGGATGTGGTGGTTATCGTTGTCGTCGCCGACCTTGGCGGCCTCGAGGGCGGTCTCGCGTCCCTTGCCCCAGAGCACGGCGTAGAGGCCGACGACGATGAGGGCGGCGCCGAGCAGGGTGCCGACGTGCATCTTCTCGTCGAGCAGGAGGGACCCCAGCACGGCCACCACCACCAGCATCAGCGGGTTGAACACCGACGCGAACAGCGGTCCGCGCCGCTTCACGCACCACGACAGCACCACCAGCATCACGCCGGAGGCCAGCACGCCGGAGTAGACCACCGACAGCAGCCGGATGTCCAGCCCCAGCCGCCACCGCGCGGGCTCCCTGTCCACCAACAGCGCGAACGCCGCCGACTGCGCGCCGCTCATCACGCACATCAGCGCCGTGCTGGTGTAGTGGAACGGGTACTCGCGGCTCAGCTTCGCCTGCAGGATCAGCCACACCGCGTAGAACACGCAGCTGCCCACCACCAGCATCGACCCCATGATCACGCGGTCGTTATTCCCGGTGGCGGCGGCGGCGGCGGGGTGGCGCGCCTCCAGGGCGGCGACGAGGTCGAGGTGGGTGTGCCAGGGGTTGAGCTCGGCGCCCTTGTACAAGGTGAGCAGCATGGCGCCGCCGACCCCGAGCAGCGTGCCGGCGACCTTGGCCTGGCCGGCGACGGTGCGGATGGCGAGGCGCTCGTAGCGGCAGAGGACGGCGAGGACGAAGGTGACGGCCGGGATGAGGTTGGTCATGGCGGTGGCGAAGGTGGCCGACGTCAGCTTCATCCCCGAGATGTACAGGTTCTGCGCCAGCGACCCCCTGCACGTACGTAATTACCTTACACGTCAGCATGCATGCACACCAGATCGACCACAAATTAATTCAACTACACGTCAGCAGGCACTGACACCGAGAATTGAAGCTCGGTGACACGTATTCCTCCACTAGGTATGTACGTAGCTAATTATACACGTACGTACGTATACGTATCAGATCGATCGAGGTCCGTGTGATACGTATGTACATACGTACGGACACCGCGCGCGTACGTGGGTGAATGGATTAGCATTCCTAGAAGTGTGCAACCTACTCCTACTAGTCAGTTAACTTAGCTAGGGCGTACGCCATCGTCAGCATCGATGTGTGCACAGCTGCGTGCGTGGCTGTATATATATATATGCTGCCAACGTCACGTTACTTCTAATGGTTTTGATTAATTAGAGATCAATTAAGGGTCAAAATTAAAGAAAGCATGCAGTGTGTTGGATGGAATTTCCATTAGCAGTATATGATAGTGGAAACTAAAGTGCAAAAGAAGCAAGGAAAAAGTGAAGACCGATCGACGTGTGCAACACAAACACTTAACGCTTACCTTCAAACACAGGAAGGTACGTACCAGCTGCTACTGCTAGTAGTACGTGGTAGCATATATATGGCATTAATTAACAAGGTAAAATTAGTTTGAACTTCAAACTGGAGGTAGTAGCTAATTAAGCTTGTGGTTAATTTGTGTTGTCCAATAACTAAGTGGTTATCCGCTTCTGTCATGTACATGTGCGCCATCCATCCATCCATCTATCTTTAGGCTTTAGACGATGCTTGATTGCTTTTTTTTTTTATGCAGAGAAAATATATAAGCAACGTACTATATATGTAGAGTAAAGGATGGTGGTGAGGCAGCCAAACGTTTTTGTCAGCCGGCATCGGCAAGCACCTCGTGACGGACGGGCCCACCGACCAAAAACACACATGCTTAGCCTCCATTGACCTCGAGTATATATAGCCAGCTGGAGTAGTAGCTAATTAAGCAGCATGGGCATTCAAATTGAAAGCTAATTAACGCCTAATTATCTCGATGAATTGGGTATCGCTATATAGTTAAGTGAAATTCTAGTAGGAGTACTATATATATGTAGCTAATTAACTGCATGTTAGTACTTTAGTACAGTCAGCGTGATTGAATAAAAACAATTACCCGGAGAGTCCGCAGACGAACGACAGCATCAGCACTCTCCACGTCATCTTTGTTCTGTTCTTCCTGCATCACGCACACACATACCTAAAATTAACAGATTGCATATATGCTATTGTTTCAGTAATTGACTAACCACAGAATAAACAAATTATTTAAAATAAAACATGCATATATATGTAGGCAGAGAAAAAGCTAGGATGAGTGAGCTGGGCCATTGATTTTTATTCGCAGCAAAAGGCTGATGGTTTAATTAATTTTCGCCACAGAATAAAACTTGCATTCATTCAATTCATGCATGGGGCGGTCGTGAAGGAAAACAAAAAAAAATAATTATTCAAGTGATGTTATACAGAAAGGGAGATACTTAATTTTAGGAAAAATAATAAAGAAATACTGGTATCTTTGAATTGAAGAAGTTGTAGAAATATATTGTATAATGCAAACAACTCGATCAATAATAGTCTCAAGAAAAGAAGAGAAGAGAAGAGAAGAGGGAATTATATTAGGGAGGGACCTCTCGACGAAGTAGGCGAGCGGGGCGAGGACGGCGGAGGCGAAGAGGTAGCGGTAGGCGACGAGGACGCGCATGTCCATGCCGTCGCACACCACCGCCAGCTTGTAGAATATGTTCACTCCGGCGAACACCACCTGCACCACCACCATCGCCGCCACCGGCTTCAGCCCCTGCACCACCTCGCCGGCCCCCATATTCTTTACTTCTTCTTGCCGGCGGCGCCGGCCCTTACTTATAGCTAATTTCTGTGCTGGATCGGATGAACTGAATTGCAGTTGAGTTGGGCACGTAATTAGCCAATTGAGCTAGATATTTATGTCTCTCTAGCTAGGACTACTGACGATTACTTGCTTGTTCGATCGATCGATCGCATATATATGAATTGAGATTGGATTGATTTGGAGGTAACTAGCTAATTAAGAACAGAGAGGCAGGCGAGCGAGGAGTGTGGGGATGGTGATGGTGTATTTATAGACAGTGCCTAAGTCATCAGAGACAGGTCCATGGTGCTTATTAGCTGCTAGCAGGAGACCACAACAAGCGCACGGCGAGTCTCAGGGAGGACAAAGAAATTAGTTAACTCGATCACCACCGAATTCAATGGACCTAACTATATCTTCCTAGGGTAAACGGAAACTTTTTCAAACCTTACTATAAAATCAGCGCGCAAGGTAAACTATTAAGTGCTTGCTTCGGAGGATGAAAGCAGATTTTAAAAACTTTGTTTGGATCTTTTTTTCTCTTTATATATAAAGCACTTGTTATTTTCCACAAATGCAATTCCTTTTTTTTTACAAAACTATGTTAATCCATTGCTACCACTATAATTCATTCTGAGCACGATTTACATGTAAACTTTATCTTTTCTCTTATTAATATGTACTTTTCATAACGCTTTCCATCGAGTATCTAATATTAAGTGAAAAGAAAATCAGACGTCCACACTCCCTCCCTCCCTCTTTTCTCCGCCTATTGTGTTCCCTTCTAGCCTTGACAATGTAGATGACGGAGCGACCAATTCCAAGCATGTTCATCATGCAATTAATGCTGCCGATGGAGTGACCAATACCAAGCAAAGAGACACAAATCTAACCGATTTACCAACCAGATCTAGCCGATGGCGGAGGTGTAGATATCTAGGCTACGTGAGGAGCTGGAAGAGGCACAAATCCCAGATATAGGGAGAGGGCCTAGTGACCTCCAATAGATCATCATGGGTAGGCAAAGGTGGCCCTTGCATTGACGAGCCAAAATTGGTGCGTTCTAAGACAGATTTGATAGCCACTACGCGAGGCTACGCAACAGCTAGGTACAGAGAGAGGAGATAAGGGTGTTGTTGTATCTTTTAGGTTGCGGAAGATACTTTTAATGTTTCCTACTCCCCCCATTCCAAAATGTTTGACGCCGTTGACTTTTTTAAAAATGTTTAACCATTCATCTTGTTCAAAAAATTAAGTAATTATTAATTCTTTTTCTATCATTTGATTTATTGTTAAATATACTTTTATATATACATATAGTTTGACACATTTCACAAAAGTTTTTAATAAGATGAACTGACGGAGCGTGGGGCTCCTCACCGGGAGACCGCGCGGGCCCCCCTTTGCCGGTTCGGCCGGGGGCACTAGGTGAGGTTCTAAGCCCTCGATCTGTGGAGTGTTTCGCGAGAGAGCAAATGCGCAAGACACGGGCGATGTAGACAGGTTCGGGCCGCTGAGAAGCGTAATACCCTACTCCTGTGTTCTGGTGGATCTGTGTATGAAGGAGTTATAAAGAGCTGGAGAGCAAGAGAGTTCAAACTCTAGAGACCCTCTTCCTCTTTCTCTCCTCTACCAGCTCAGGTGTTCTCCACCTTCTCCTTCTCTCCTTTTTTTCCTCTCCTTTTTTTCCTTTTTTCTTCTTTTTTTCCCTTTTCCTCCTTAGTGGGCAAGGTCCTCCTTTTATATCTCAAGGGGATACCACATACACCACTTCTACCTACTCTTCTTTTGGGTGGGGACTCACCCTATCTTCCAAAAAAAAACTGGCTTGCGCCTTCGCCTGGAAGCTAAATCACAGCTTGTCTTTGAGTGAGGCCCAGCGTCATCACTCGCCTGACACCGGGGATCTCCCTGTTACTCCCTCATTAATGGGCGGAGATTTGCCATGGCTGCTGTCCGAATGACCCTCCGATGGGATGGGCCATACCTACCTCCACTCGGCCGGAAGCAGGCGTAACGTGGGAGCACGGTTGTCTGCCGATGACGTGACCGGCGTCAGACCAGTCACAAACCGGTCATTCTTGTCTACCACGTGTCAGTTTAGCATGCCACACGTCAGTTTAGCATGCCACACGTCAGCCCTTCTTCATAAAATGACTTCCTTGTAATGGTTGCGATGAAGCCTGGTATGAATCTAGCCGGGACTGACGTGCTGACTCCAGGAGTTAGCACGTCGGCTCCGGCTAGGGACGAGTGCCTAGAGGCTCTCATCATTCCGACGGGACGGGGCGAGGCGTGCGAAAGGCCGCTTGTTGCCACCTAACCCGCGATCTGACCGGTCTGTGACCGGTCACACACTGTGACCTGTCACGGACCGAACGAGTGTGCTGCGCTGCATTAAATGCGGCGTGGGGCACTCGTCCAACCCGCAATAAACGCGGTTAGGTGAGCGCCGCTGTGCTCACCTAACCCACACACGTGGCGCCAAACCCACAGGGGGTCGGGGCGCCCCAGCCCTCGGGGCCGAAACGGGAGCGGCCCGACCCCTCGGGGAGACAGAGGGAGGGGCGGCCACATCACCCTCGGGCCCGACCCCCCCGAGGGGGTCAGGCCACGTGGGTGACCGCGGCTGCCCCAAAACATCTAGTCAAGATACCCCCGGTCCCATGTCACCGACAGTAGCCCCCGGCGTTATGCCAGGGCGATCGCCCTCCTCGAGGAAAGCGCTCGGGCGTGACGCCACTCCTTAGGCCTGGTGATAGGTGGGGCCGGTCTCTACAGGCGGGCAGGAATCCAGTGGTCGCAAATCGCGCGCATCGGCAAGGGAAAACCGACCGACAATAATGAGCGGCTTTCTTCAAGACCGCTACATTACTTGAGTAGCGCGCGAATCGGGACGAGCCGGTTCGTTTCGCCTGGAGATGTGATGATGGTGCATCGGTCGGCGAGCGTAGTTAACGCGCGCACGATATGTCCCATCTCGACCGCCACGGCCGCACATCCGCCTCGTGCGCCGCAAACGGGCGAGCGGGATTAGTGGAGGAGTGGGTGCGAGAAACGAGGGGGTGAGATAGTGGGCGCGGGAAGCGAGGAGCCGGGCATAGCGTTGGCAAGGGTATAAAGACGCCGAGGAAGAGATTCGTTTCCTTCCTCTCGCCATTATTCCCCTTGCCTTCGCCGCTTGCGCTCTAACTTCTCGTTTCCTGTGCCCTACCCTCGCCGCACTCACTCGCTCTCAAGCCCCTCCTCCGCCGGCGTCATGGCACGGGGCTCCGCACCGCTCGACGGTAGCGTGCTGCCGCCTTCTCGCATCGTGAGCGAGAGGCAGGCCGGGCTGCCGCGCCGATTCATGCCGGAATCTGCCACCGGCCGGGAGGTGGTTGCGCTGGGCGAGGGATGCCCGGCGCCACACTACCCGGGGCGGTCCGTATTCTTCCTTTCCTTCGCAATGGCAGGGCTGGTCCCGCCATTCTCTTCTTTCTTCATGGATGTTCTGGAGCTTTATGATCTCCAGATGGCGCACCCCACCCCCAACGCTGTAATGACGTTGGCCATCTTCGCGCACCTGTGCGAGATGTTCATCGGGGTGCGCCCATCTCTCCGGCTGTTCCGGTGGTTCTTCACCGTACAGCCGGTGTCGCCACCGTCGGTAGTCGGTGGCTGCTACTTCCAGCCGCGGGGGCCGGTGCTGAACCGCTACATTCCCTGCGTTCTTCGCAAGAAGTGGGACGACTGGAAGAGCGACTGGTTCTACACCCCTCTCGCCGACGAAGCGCGCCTCCGACTTCCGAGCCAGCCCCCGGCGCAGGCCTCCAGCTGGCGGGTGCCGGTAGATCTGGGAGACGGCTACGACGCCGTTCTTGACCGCCTGGCTGGTCTGCGATCCCAGGGGCTCACGGGGGCCATGGTGTACGGCGATTACCTTCGTCGCCGGATCGCGCCGCTCCAGCGGCGCGCCCGGGGCGCCTGGGAGTACACCGGGTCCGAGGACTACATGAGGACCCACCAGGGGGTCAAATGGGACTGGGTCCCTGAAGACTTCAAGATGGTGATCCAACGGGTGCTGAATCTCAGCTCCGTGGAGGCATCCCTCATTCCCCAAGGTGTCCTCCCCCTCTGCAGCGGTCCAGAGCGCGCCAACATCCTGACCATCATGCAGGCGGTCGGGGCGTCAGTGGAGCGGGCTCCTCGAGGCCACGATGGCGCGGGCGGGAGCCGCAGGGGGGAACAATCTACCCCGGGAGGGGGTCGTGCTTCTGGGCCCCGTGACGGGGGCCCGGGGGGCAGCCGCCCTGTCGACGCCCGGGGGAAGAGGAAACAGGAGGATACCCCCTCCCCATCTCCTCCCCGAGGGGGCGGGGCGGTGCGTGCCAGCAGCAGGCGCTCGGAGGGTGCTGTGCCGACGTCGCAGCCCGAGGGGGAGCGAAAAAAGAAGCGGCTCCGCAAGATGGGGGGGACCGAACCATGCCGGGGAAACCTCATCTCCCCCCCAAGGTGGTCGTTTAGCCGACCTCCTCGCAGGTTCGTCCCCGCGCCCACTGCGGCCGTATTCATTCTCCCATCTCCCAAGGCAAGTTTTCACTCACCCGTTTTTCGTCTTCTGGTTTTTCTTCTGCCTCAGCGAGATCCCGTCGCGCCCTTCCCGCCATTCCAAGTCCGGCCGGTCTGAGGCCGAGGAGACGGCAACCGCGGAGGCCCGGAGGCGGGAAGCTGACCGGCGAGAAGCTGCAGACCGTCCGGGCTCGCCAGGCTGAGGAAGCCGTTTGGGAGGAGGCCAGACTCCGCCGGGCCGAGGAGTCCGTCCGGGAGACAGAGGCGGCGCGCGCACGCCGGGCGGGACGCCGCCGACCATATCATCCACAGCTTCGAGGGTACGGCCCCTCGGCTCGCGTTCGCCCTCGACTCCGACGAGGAGGGCGGTGACGGTGGTGCGGATGACAGCGACGATGAGGCCGGCGACTCGGGCGCATTGGCGTGAGCCCCCAGGCCCCCGCCAATCTTAAATAGCTTTTTCTTTCTTCTTCTGAGGCCTTCGGGCCCCCTTCCTGTATAAACTAATTCAATCTGCAATCAAATAAAGAGGAAATTTTTGTGTCAATTTCATTTGCTGTGTGTATGAGATGAGGATGGTCTGTGCCGCGGTCCTTCTGTGTCTTGGCTTGAACGAGGGCTCGTGCCTAGGTCCCAACCTCATGCGGCGCGGGTCGGGGCTAGTGCCTGGGGAGATCCGCGTGTCGAGACTGGCCAGGCCAG